CCATGCTCTCAAGAGAACATACCTGCAATAAAACAGTCTTGTGGGCTAGCTGCCCCGGGGGACTGGCGGCCGAGGGCAGCTCTGCTCCCTGGTCAGCCAGCCCCTCCCGCTTCTCCGTGGTGACTCGGTTGGCTCCTTAACACCCGTGCTGTCTCTGTGCCCTCCCCCCCCTCGCCCGCCTGCCTGCCCCCCCCCCACTCCCCCAGCGGAGAGCATGATCCGTGACCTTGCTTCTGATTTTCGCCTCTGGGACAAGTAAGTCAATGTGGGCAGTTCGGTCGTCTGGATTTTTCTTTTCCTTTTTCTGTTCGTTTCATCTTGCCCCACCCCCCCACCCCCACCCAGGTTGTTCAAGTGGCTTCTCCTGGAACCTGCCCAGCTTTGAGAATCTCCTCATCCACCCTCTGGCACCCAGCCTCCGGGGGAGGGGAGGGGAGGGACGGGCCGTAGTGGGAGACCCAGCCAAGAGCTGAGGGTAAGGGCAGGTAGGCGTGAGGCTGTGGACGTTTTCGGAGTGTTTTGGTTTTGGTTTTCTTCCTTTCTTTTTTTTTTTTTTTTTTTTTTAAACCGGGCAATATTGTGTTCAGTTCAAGCTGTGAAGAAAAATATATATCAATGTTTTCCAATAAAATACAGTGACTACCTGACGTGGCTCCTCCCCTCTTGTCTCTGTTTCTGAGCCTGCTCCCTGCGTGAGCCCTGCAGCCCCGCCCTGAGAGAGCCTTTCCTGCATGCTCGCCCCGGAGCCTTGTCCTGGTCATGGCAGCCAAGAGGGGACCTCTGAGCTGAACTTGTGATCCCAGCCAGGTTTCATGGTCCCTGAGGGCAGGATGCTGATCTGGCCATGCAGCCCGTCAGCCTTGGGGCGGCGGGGGGCGGGGGGAGCACAGAAGCTCAGAGACCAGCGTGTCTGTCACATGAATGAGTGCGCCACGACGACTGGCTGGTCCAGGGCCACGAGAGCAGCCCACTGAGCTGAGGCCTGAAGGCTGAGCACTCACACAGTGGGAGGGACGGGTGTCATCCAGAGGAAAAGCAAGAAGGCAGACCCGAGGGGTGAGACCCGGGTCAGGGACTCTCCGGGTGCTCTGGGGAAGGGGTGACATTCACTGAATGAGTCAATGCCAGTCAAGCGGCCTGCACGCCCTGGGGACCTGAGCTCACAGAGCTTCAGTGAACTCCCCGGAGAGGGCACGGACGGGACGGGGAGATTTGAGACAAAAAACCCAAAACATTTGCAAACTACAGAAAGTCCCCTCCCTACCACAAGTGGGGATGTGAAGAAGAAAGGCCTGGGGGCCAGTGGTTCTGTAGGGACGGCATAGAATCCTTGGGGGCTTTTCCCAAAATAGAGCCCCGCCCCCAACTGCAAATCCCATCCCCTCGCCCGTTCAGGGGTGCAGGGAATGACGGACGCTGACTAACTTGTGACCTCACACGCGACCACAGCGGCTGGGCTGGTGGAAGCAGAGCCCGAATCCAGTGGAATAAAAAAAAAAAAAAACTTGCTTTCACCGTGGGGTACAGCAAGCACTGTTCGGTCTTTACTGGAGGCTCCCACGCCACGGACGCACCTCTCAGCCTCCATGCCAGTGAGTCCTGCAAGCAACCATCTGGGCTGGATGCTGTGAATGCACACTAGGAAACTGAGGCCCAGAAGAGTGAAGAGACTACTCCAGGGTTATTGAGGCAAACCTCAAAAGTGGCAGGGCTGGAATTTGAACGAGAGCTGACCCCAAGCAGTCCACACTCTCAGCTTCCCGCCCTTAGACTTTTAAAACTGACTTCAGGGGCGCCTGGGTGGCTGGCTCAGTCGTTAAGCGCCTGCCTTCGGCTCAGGTCATGATCCCGGGGTGCTGGGATCGAGCCCCCGCATCGGGCTCCCTGCTCAGCGGGGAAGCCTGCTTCTCCCTCTCCCACTCCCCCTGCTTGTGTTCCCTCTCATTGTGTCCCTGTCTGTCAAATAAATGAATAGAATCTTTAAAAAATAAATAAATAAATAATAAATAAATAAAACTGACTTCAGGCAGGCCAGAGCCAGAGCCTAAGCCAGTGGGAGGGGTAGGCTGAGTCTGGGGTCACAGTGGTCAGGTCTAAGATGGGAGTTGCCCTCTGAGCTGCCAGGACCCCTGTGGAAAATTCTAGTCTCGTGGTTGAGAGATAGACAAGTTCTGGTGACCCACAGAACTGGGCTCCGAGCCCCACGTGAGCACTCGCTCTGGTGAGTCTGTGCGCTCCCTAACCCTCAAGGTCTACCTCTGCCACCCCCTCCTTGATGACCTTGGGGCGGTGATTTCATTTCTCTGGGCCTCAGTTTACAGGTCTGCAAAATGGAGATGAATAATGACCCTATAGGAGGAAGATCATAAAAATATCCACTTCAGAGGGTTGTGCCAACCACTTTCCAGACCTGTCTCATTCGGTTGCCATGCAGGCCATGGAGGGTGCGCATAGGCATGAAATAAGTATCGAGATCTGACAGTAAAGAACTGGGGGCCCCGGGCAGGTAAAGGCTCTTGTACCACACTTCCTGGCAGTGGCTGAGCTGGGTCTCAAAACCCCAGATAGTTCGGATCCCAAACGCCCCACGCTGCCTGCGTGACTCTAGCTCCTATCATTAGTTTCCCCCCTTGGGCCCTATGTTTTGAAAGACTTTTACTCCTGGACAGGCTGCCTTATTAAATAATCATGACTTCTCTTTCCCATGCTTTATTAATCAAAGACACATAGACGGCACTCGGAGCTTCTAATGGACGTGGGGCAGGTCCTGAGGGAGCGCACTCCAGCCCAGAGCGGGATGCTGAGAGTGGGGATCATTTCCAGTTCCAGCTCTCGGGTCACTGGACCAGCTCACACTTGTCCTTAGCGGGTGACTAGCCGAGGGACACAGCGGGAGGTGCCCTACGCAGGGCCCCCTCCTTTCCCCCCGCCCCAGGGTAGTGGCCGCTGGGACCACTTCTAAATGTCACTCCTCGTGTGACCAGCAGGTGGGGCAGTGACTACAGAAGGCCCCGGAGAGCTGCCACTCCTGGGGACCTGCCAGTGTGTGTGTGTGTGTGTGTGTGTGTGTGCGCGCGTGCTTGAGTCCCATCTGTGGGCCGGGCCCAGTTCTAGGAAGTCCAAAATGAATAAAACAAAGTGATAAATGCACAAAGTCTCCTTCGCTTCCTGACGCCCACTCCATGCTAGGCAGACCCCTCGGCTATGCTCTCAGCACATATTCCAGCTCGCAAATTTGTATTTTTTTTTCTGCTTATTGGAATACTTAGTTCTGTGATTATTAAGTTGTCATCCAACTGGAATGTGAGTGAGAGAGGGCCAAGGCCATGTCAGTCCCTGCTGTATGGCCAGCAGGTACAGAGCAGCCTTGGGCCCCCGGGGCAGATTCCAGGGAATTGTTGAGTTAATGAATGAGTAAGAGGCTAGGAGGCCAGAGTCAGATCCAGGAGCACGGTTCCTGGGCTCACCTTCTTCCAATCCTCGGTCCCGCCCAGCCATCCCCCCTCCAGGAAGCCCTCCCTGATGTCCCCTCAGATTGCACCCCACCCCACCCCATCTCGCAGCTCTGCCCACTCTGGACTCGGAGCCCCAGGAGAGCAGGGCCAGGGCTGTCTCTGTCACCGCCATGTCCCCCGCATCAGTCTCAGTAAGAACCTGTTGAGTGAATGAGCAAATGTCTGTGCCGGGTCAGGCTGCAGGGAGGACCGTCATGGTGCCCAAAAGTGCCCCCAAGTGCCTGAGGTAGGTGCGAATAAGTCTGCAGGGAGAAGGAATAGGGGCGCCTGGCTGACTCCGTCTTGATCTCGAGGTTGTGAGTTCGAGCCCCATGCTGGGTGTAGAGATGACCTAAAATTAAATCTTTAAAGAAAAAAAGAAGAAGAAATAGTTTAAGCAGAACCTGAAGGGCCACGGTGCTTGTGACGAACGGAGAGGGGAAAACGCTGTTTCAGGAAGGGTGAGCTCAATCAGCAAAGAGGTGGAAGCCAGACAGGTTACGCACAGGCTCTGGGAGAATCCTCGGTTGTCTGGCCGGGGCTGAACAGGGAGCGAGGGAGGTGGCCCTCGGCCTCCAGGCGGTGGGGGCCCTCGGAGTTGGCAATCAGGGGAGCGACCGCTCAGAGAGGACTCCAGAAGCTAGCGGAGAGGACACACGGTCGCTCAGGGGGTCGGGACACCAGCTAGGAGATGAGTTTCCAAATCCTCCCTGAGGGGCTGCGTGTAGATAGATGGGGCGGGAAATGCTTGCGAACCCCCCGAGCTGGAAGACCGCGTACACAACCAGGCCAGAGGCGGTGGGAGGTCTGCGACTATACAGGGGGATGCCGAGGCCGGATGGATTCTTGAGATATTAGGCCTGGCGGGTAAAAGCCAGCAGAAAACCAGCTTCCACGCTGAATCCTCACTTCCCGGTAATCCAAATCTGAAAAACGGGGATAATAATAGCACCCACCTGAGGCTTGGATGCTGTGGGTTCGAATGCCCAGCCCTGTGCTACCTTCATTTAGTGAGCCCTGAGAGGCCAGAGACAGACTGACCCACTTTCTGGGCCGGCGCAAAGAGTGGAGGCGAGCGCCCCCTAGGGGTCTTGCCTGGACAGGCAGGCAGTC